AACTGATACAACCCATTCCCAAATAAAATCTGTGCGGGAAGACGATCGGGGAATTACAATTTCAGTTGAGGGTTGGCAATCAGTCTTATACAAAATTCCCAAGTAATGAACTTCTGTAGTGCAAAATTGTACATTGTGTACACTGGACAAACCTAAGCTCTTAAAGCACTTTCAGCTTATTGATCCTGCTTGTAATTGCTGTCATTCCACCCCAGCCACTTATGCACAAATGTTTTGGTCTTGTATTGAGCTTAACTGCTTTTGGGACACTATTTTTAAAACTATATATGTTTTTTTTTTTTTTTTTTTTGGTGTTTTCGATCTCCCCTTGCCCACTGATTGCCATCTTTGGAATTTTACCCACGTCATATAATCTTACAAAAATACAATCTGATTGCATACCTTTAATTGTGCTAGCCAAACGACTAATATAGGTGGAAGAATCAGAAAGTTGGAAAAAATAGACTGTCTAGAAGTTCAACTAACCAGTTTAAGAAAATTTGGGACCCATTTAGGAAATATATTTAGGAACATGTTTTATTGTCAAATAAAGACCAAGTCTTTGTTTCAGCTAATTGATTATTTTTCTTTCCTAAGAGCAAAGTAGAGTGTATTGTGTGATTGTACAAGTGCTGTTTTTGTTAAGCCACATTATTGTTTACATTTTCACTTCTTGGTACGTTTTTTTTTTTTTTTTTTTGTATGTGTGTGTTGTCCTTTCTCATTGTATGCACTTAAGTTGATACTATCTATACTTTTAAAAATATAATTTTAATAAATAAATGTAACATATTTGTCACACTAAGAACTTTTACATGAAAGGTTCTTTAGGGAAACAAAAATAAAAACCCTTTCATTTCAAAAGTCAATCAGTGAAGCAGACACTGTGCCAATTTCTGCATTGTGTTGCTCAGCATTATTTAAATTCACAACAGAAAAAAGCCCACACACACAGTTTAAGGAGGGATTATGTTGCTTCCCGGAAACATAAGTACATTCAACCCATGAGTTAGCAACAGCATTCAAAAAATAATGGCCAATGACAAGATGATTACAGCTGGAGAAGGGAGTTGCTCCAGCGGTCCATATTCTATCACCAGGGTGTTTTTGTGTTGCCTCATGGCCTGTGAATGTTACACCTTAGCACATAGTAAAAGTCCACAGGGAAGCACAGGGAAACTCCCATCACAGCAGGGCTCCTGCACCCTTCCCACACAACTGCTTTCCCTCCGGAAAAAAAAATAAAAATACAGCCCTTCCTTCAGGCAATCAAAAATCACAGTGACAATCAGCTCATGTAGGGTCTATGCTTAAATATTTGAGCTACGTGATCAACATCCTTTGCTTGTAAAAGCCCAAAACACACTCCTTAAGGAGACTTCCTCCCACTTGAGCTCCAAATGCCAAGTTTTATCACTGTTTAGCTTTTAAAAGGCAATTGCGCACACGTGCCGCTTGTGTTTACGTATATACAGAGATATAAACCGTGGTTAACGTCATTTGACCGAGTCAGGAGGACACAGTATATAAACACGTCAATCTAAGCAGCTGCACACCCTGATATCTAACTGTTTTAGGGAGTTTAATTCGTTGGAAAAAAGCAATGCTGGTGGATGGTTTGTTTATGATGTGCTCGACCGGGTTCCTGGAGGGTGTAGGATGGTGAAACCCCCCCACTGACACCCCCCAGCAGAGCTGCTGGGAGGTTCACACCTCCGGGAGGGATGATTATCCTGTCATGAGCATCTTCACAGCACCCTAACAGGATCATTTCAAACCCTTGAGTTGTTTTCACAGCCTCTGTGGGAAAAGTCATTCCAAATGGTCAGAGGGGATGAAGCAGTGCAACATGGGAAATGGTATTTGAATAACAACAAGGTCTCTGAACTCTGACCTTTAGTATCCATTCGGGCCCAAACATGAGTACAATACGAGTTAAGCCCAAAAAAACTGCTATTGTAGCAATGATGTGGATTATATATTACATACATCTATTAAAAATATATATAAACAGTGCTCAGCATATACAAGTACACCCCTCACAAATCTATTTTTTAAGTTCATATTTTTAACAGGATGCTAAACAATACTATATTTGTGCATATACATTAGATTAGTCAGTACTGAAGCCAAATCTGAAGCTTATCTAACAAAATAACTTACGATAACAGTCCAAAACCTAGTACACCCAAATTTACATGTTATAGAAAAATATTAAATACAAATTTTTAAAAAAGAGGAAAAACCAAAAGAAGCAAAAATTTAGCTTGCAACATTTTGCTTGAATTTAACTGTATATCTTTTAATTTCTAAATATGTTTGGTGACTAAAATATTATTTTAATAAATATATCTATTTAATAAATCTGTTTTGTTAAAATGCACCAAAATACATCACCTACAGTATATTCACTGGGAAATGGATCAAAATATTTATTTTTAAAATGGGTTGTACTCAATTATGCTATATATATATATATATATATATATATATATATATATATATATATATATATATATATATATATATATATAAACAGTTGAAGTCAGAATTATTAGCCCCCTCCGAATTTTTTCTTCTTTTTAAATATTTTCCAAATGTTTAAAAGAGCAAGGAAATTTTCACAGTATGTCTGATAATATTTTTTCTCCTAGGAAAAGTCTTATTTGTTTTGTTTCGGCTAGATTAAAAACAGTTTTTAATTTTTTTAAAAGCCATTTTCGGGACAAAATTATTAGCCCCTTTAAGCTATCTTTTTTCTTTATAATCTACAGAAAAATCTACTGTTATACAATAACTTGCCTAATTACCCTAACCTACCTAGTTAACCTAATTAATCCCGGTAAACCTTTAAATGTCACTTTAAGCTGTAAAGAAGTGTCTTGAAAAATATCTAGTAAAATATTATTTACTGTCCTCATGTCAAAGAGAAAAGAAATTAGTTATGGGATGAGTTATTAAAACTATTATGATTAGAAATGTGTTGGAAAAATCTCCCAGTTAAATAGAAACTGGGAAAAAAATAAACAAGCGGTCTAATAATGGGGGGGGGGGGGGGGGGGGGCTAATAATTCTGACTTCAACTGTAAACTGTATATACATACATACAGTTGAAGTCAGAATTATTATCCCCCTAATTTATTTTCCCCCCCAATTTCTGTTTAACAAAGAGAAGACTTTTTTTTTCAACATTTCCCAACCTAGTTTTAACTCATTTTAATAACAGATTTATTTTATCTTTGTCATGATGACAGTAAATAATAATTGACTAGGTATTTTTCAAGCCACTTAAAGAGCTTAAAGAGACATTTAATGGCTTAACTAGGTTAATTAGGTTAACTAGGCAGGTTAGGGGAATTAGGCAAGTTATTGTATAACCATGGTTTGTTCTGTAGACTATTGAAAAAAAAAGCTTGAAGGGGCTAATAATTTTGTTCTTACAATGGTGTTTAAAAATTAATAACTGCTGTTATTCTAGCCAAAATAAAACACATAAGACTTTCTCCAGAAGAAAAAAAATATTATCAGACATACTGTGAAAATGTCCTTGCTCTGTTAAACATCATTTGGAAAATATATAAAAAAGAAAGAAAAAATCTAAGGGAGGCTATTGATACATAAATACATTAATATCTATCTACCTATCTATCTATCTATCTATCTATCTATCTATCTATCTATCTATCTGTCTGTCTGTCTGTCTGTCTGTCTGTCTGTCTGTATATATATATATATAATACTTAAAGCTTGTTTATTGTGTGTATTATTTATGTTGCAAAGCTTTTATTGCTATTTTTACGGTTTTAACTATTTTCCTTTTATGCTGAAGTGGGAACAAAGTTGTAAACTTAATTTACAAGTTTAGGGTCAGAACTCAGGCCAGTGAATAAAAGACCCTACCAATCTTAAACATTTGAACTGTAGAGAAAATAAATAAATAAATAAATAAATAATAATTTTTACCCTTAATTGCTGCCATTAAAATCATCTTACTATTTAATTTTTTTTTTGAAAGAGTAAATATAAAAATACAAGTGAGTACGTTTCACTTCGAATTATTTAATGCTAATTAAAATCAAATGAATACACTAATTAGAATGTAATAGCTAACTCTAAATATGAAATACAAATTTGTACTAAAATGTTGTTAACTTAAATTTTGTTCACATTTGTGGTAGTTTCTTTGCCTGTTTTTCTGATTAGTATAATGCCAGATATTCTGCCATTTCATCCACACTTATCCTGAACCCAGAAAATGAATTCAACCACAAGTAAAAGGGAAATTTGGAGTCATACTGTCAGTTGGCTTTAAAATTAAAGGGGAATATTTCGCCGCATGTACACAAAAAGCAGAACGAACACAAATAAACTAGGGTGGTTTCTCTTTCCACAAACTTGAATGACAACTCTTGCCCTCATCTGCAGCTCGCAGCGACTTCTCATAAGGAACAAGCAGACTATTTAAATAACACAGAGGTGGCATGGAAAACAATTCAACAGAATATGTAAATGCTAGTGGAATCATGTGCAAGGGTAAACAAAACAAATACTTTTGTGTTCGAGAAGACAGTAAGATCTATAGTGTGATGGATGTACACGACAGCTGGTGGCAGAAATACTATATGAAACTGATATCGCAAGAAAGCTTTACTTCCCTTCTGTCGTCTGACCTCTTTAGTCCAAACGGACTATTTATAATGATTAGACACACTTCAGTTAAACAGTAATTCCTTCAGCTTCTACATTCATTTAAAACATCTCCCAGAAGCTCAGTAGCAAGTTGTGTTCCGTTATGAGAAATCATGTACCAGTTAGACGAGCCTCAGCCATAACAAACCACTTTGGAAAACAAGACATCCTGACAAAAGCTGGAACACAATTAAATGCTGACCCACCGAAAGGCAAATGAGGTGGATTAGCATAATCCCTCAAGTGACCCACAACAATCCAGGACAAATAAGATCTGCTTTCAGAGCACAAGAAAACGCCGATTCTCTATAAACGGTTTAAATAAAGTCTGTTTATTTTATTTATCAGACATATCAGTTCCATGAAAATGTGTAATGAATGTTACCGTTTCTAATCAGGAAAAATAAATAAATGAAAAAAAGATAACTTGAAAAGAGCTAATTTATATTAAAAAATACTGTTACTAAATTGCAATATTAACTTAGTACCATATATGAAATAATTATATCATGCTTATTGCTATTTATTTAATCGATTTTGTAGTTCGTTTCAATATTTGGCACATATGTCCCTCTAGTGGTCATTTAATGTCAGAAGAAAGTAACATAACTTATAACACATAGGATACTAACAGAAGAATAATAATACTAATTTCCATAACGTATACTGTAATCTTATTTCTTTGATGTTGTAAATTAACATTACTGGAGTTACAGACTACAAGAAAAAACTACTTCAGTTTTTTAAGAAAACTTAGAATTTAATAAAATAGTAAAATACATGATATAATTAGTTAATTTATTAATTTTAATCAAACTGATTTTGTAGGTTGCTTAAAAATTTGGCACATATGTCCCCCTAGTGGTCACTTAACGTCAGAAGGAAATAACTTAGAACTTATTATTAAACATATATGACACTAAACAGAAAAATACTCATTTCTATAAAGTAAACTATAATCTTATTTCTCTGAGATGCTAAATAAACATTACAGGACTACATGCTATAAGAAAAAACTATTTCTGTTTTCTGCTAAAACTTATTCCTGTTCTTAAAACTTACACGTAATTTAGTTCTACACTAAATGATTCAGTGCATAAATCTAAAAATTGGTTGGAGTGTCATTTTACAGAGGCATTTTAAAGGGAATGAAAACACTTAGGGTGTGTTCACACTTATTGTAGAGCTCTGTTCTGTTCTTTTGGTGCAGAGCAAAAAATTTATTACACACGTGGTCCCGTTTCACTATGGGTTCAGAATATGAACATAATTCATCAATCAATCCTTTTAATGGTCACATCTTGTGTTTTTGGGAATGCACCAAGATTTATCTGGTTGATCCACTTGCTGGGATGCACAATATATCATTTCAGCATTAATATCGCAATGTGTACATTTGCAATTGTCTCATCGCAGGATCTACAATGTTGAGTCTGTATTATGGTTGACCAGCACCCCGAATTTTATTGTTTAATCATAAGAAATTTATTGTTTATTATTTCCAGGTGTTTTTAAGGCATTTCTAAAAAAGGGTTTTAAACAGGGTTTCTTCAAGTCAAACTTAAGACTTTTTAAGACCCTTTCAAAAGCATATGAGTGAAATTTTAGACTGATACAGCTCTAAACACTAAGAATTTTGAATGGCCCGGTTACTTCTGTAAATAGTTTTTGTATTAATGGAAGATCATGTAAAAGGATGCGTTGCTTTAGTTTTCTTTCCCTGATTAGGGAATTTAATTAGCTGTAAAAATGTCTAACAGCTTATGTGACATGTATCTTTTTAAATAATAAAAATAATAACAATAAAAAAAACTAAATATAAACCAAAAAATTAAGACTGATTATTGGTGATTGGGTGTCAGCCCGATAGGGTAGCTTTAAATGGAAATAGTAAAATAAGACCTGTGTAAAATGATTTAAGACTCGCAGCACAATATTGCAGTGAATTTCAAACTTAAGGCCTAAAATTTTCTTTTTTGAAACTTAAGACACTTTATTACTTTGTAAGACCTCGGGGACACCCTGTTAAAAGCATGTTTAAAGCATTTAAGCAATTACGTCTGTAGCTTTAACAAAGATTACTTGTATTTAAATATTTATACCATACAGTGTTCGTTTCAGTGTCATATTTATTTCTGTATTGTTAGTCTCACCAGTGAACCATAGGCCAATGTATGTTCTTTTGTACTTATTTTTTCTTGTGATTTGTTATATTTGATCCAAATGTGCTCCCCTAAAATGGAAAATAATAATAATAATAGCAATAATCACCCTAATCAATCTAAAATAATGAATTATTTCTGAATAGATCTTTTCAAGTCTTCATATTAAAATATACATTGAAAATATTCCGTTGTCAGTTTTTTTGACAAAATCATGCAAACCAAGTGTGAACACATCCTAAAAAACTAAATGGCTCATCATTAAATAATGTTTTAAATGAGGCTAGAATACTGTTATGTACAAACGTTTTTGAATGCGAAGCCTATCTAAAAACTTCTGCATGTAACAAAATGCATTGTGTATTACTGACAATACAAAAAAGCTACCAACAATGTGCTTATGATTCGTTCTGGAGTTTTCCAATCTTCATTCATCTTCAAAGAAAGCCTCTGCTGAGCGAAAAACATGGAGTCATAAAGCATATATAGACACAGAACTATGTCAGTCATGGAAAACATGCAGAATATCTAGCAAAACATGAAGCATTACCTCTGCGTCATCTGCTCTGTGCTAGAATTTCTTGACAGCTCTTGTACACTTGAATCAAACAATTGAGCCGAGGCTTTGAACTCTGGAGGAAGAACCAAAGGTGTTCATTTACATACTGAGATGCCACAAATTCCTATAATCTTGCTTTTGCGAATGAATAACAACAGCTGTTTTGAACCTGGAAGAGAGGAACAACACTGGTCACCGTCTCAGGGTCTGCTGGGTCCTTGATGAGAATGCACAGATAGTATATGATGTTGTGCTGAGGAGCAAAAACACAAACACTGATTATTTTTACATCTCGATATCTCTCATGCGTGAAGGTCACTGTGTGTTTACCATATAAACAGCCTCATTTATGACGATGTCTTTCAGCTTGCTCATCTCGATGAAAGTCGTGCTTTCTCGTCCAGAGGCATAAGACGAGGACAGTTGGACACCCAGAGAGCCTATTATGAGAAGGGTCTCATGGTCCACCTTCACAAAGTGAATATGAATCACCATCCCAACTAAAGTGAGGATGATGGCACTTGACAGAACCGCCGTGTTCTGAATATTAAACAGAAGGAGAATTATATTAGATCAATAAGAGCAATTAGGTTAGATTTATATTGAACATTTGCTTGACATTCACGAAAATATTTCATATATTCTATTATAATATCAAACTTTCAATCGCAGCCATGTTGGAAATTCCTGAATAAGTTCTTCTTGCTTAGTACTAAGTGGAATTTTGAGATATATACTAGGGCTGTACGATATTGGAAAAAAGCTGATATTGCAGTATTTTGTTTTTTGTCAATACATATTGAGATTCTGTATATAAATTCACCAGATGAAAAGAATAGCTCTATTTGGAAAGAATTTACATAATTTTACATTGATTATGATGATTTTGTGGAGTGTATCTGCATCAAATTTAATAAATCAATCAAAAGTATTGATAAAAACAGTAGAGCAAAGCGATGAATGAAAACAACAACCTTCTAGCAGTATTCGGGTACTCAAATTGAGTAATCAAATGTAAAATAGTTACACATGAATGTTTTACATGCTTACACAATCACAGGCCTTAAAAACACAAACATGATTAATTGGGGTTCCTGTTCGACTATAATCCTGCCAAATGAAATGGTTACTGAGTGTATTGGATTTAGAGGGATACGACTTTATTGAACCAACATATTCTGTATTTTGGTTTTATCTTCTTTAAAATCGCATATTGTGATGGGTAAAGAAAGCATTTTTTATGCATTCTTAAGATGGTTTGGCTCATGTGATAAAATCACTGAATACAGTTGAAGACCACATGATCAGCCTTACTGTAAAATCCTTTTTCTTCGAATAATTGCCGATGGATATTTAACAGAGCAAGGAAAATATTTACAGTATTTCCAAATATACTTTTCATTTACACTTTTTTTAGAAGCTTTTTTTTCAGAGAAACTATATATTGTTTTCTTATTTTGATCTCCAAATACAGCCTAATGCACAATCAAATGTTTTAACCTGCACTGAGCAGCTGTAATAAACGCACTATAAATGACAACGTAAACTACTTCTGTTTCCTCACTATATGGACGTACATTTTAAATATGTAATTTTTTTCCTTAAGAAATATTAAATATTGGCTACAGATCAAACCACTGTTGTCCAATGATTTTACCTAGTTAACCCTAAATAACCCAGTTAAGCCTTTAAATAGCATTTTTAGATTAATATTACTAGTATTTTGCAAAATAAATTGTAAAGTATTATGTATTTTCATTATGGCAAAAAACAAAATAATTATGTTATCATTAAATTCTTTTTTTAAATAAAATCTTCTCTACGTTAAAGAAAACTTGGGAAAATAACTTAGTAAAAAAAAGTTCAATTTCAAAGAAGGGCTAATTAATAAATTTGTTTTCAACTGTATAATAGACGTTTTCGCGCAATGTCAAACCAAATCCAATAAACAGTCATTTTTGTCTAATAAACAGCAAAAGACGTCAAGGCCTTCATAGTCCGCATGATAAAATGTTCTTACCTGGGTGAAGAAGAACACAGCATAAGCAAATAACCACACACAGCAGGTGTACACCATCACCTTGCGCAAGGACAGTTTGGGTGAGGTAACAGTAAACTCTCTGCAGAAAGAAGAGTGCGTTTGACAGTCTAAAGAAATCCAGTTGCCATTTATGTCTGTGAACTCTTCGTCGGCCATCTTGATCACTGCTGGTTATTTCGCGTTCGGAAAATTACATTAATAAAGACTTCAGAATAAATAGTTTTGCTTAGATTATTATTTTTCCACCAACAGTGAAACCATCTTCTTCTTATGATAATGTGACGTTGGCAAAATAACATACAGGTGCGTTTTCGCCATCTACTGGACTGGGGTTGAAAACTCCCAGGGTCTGTTCTTCGTACGTGGATTACTCAGTTAGCTGGATTTGGATATTGACGATTTGACACGATCCAGGATCGTTTCGTTCTTCAAAGCTGATCCGAGAGTTGTTGTCATGGCAACAGATCTGCTAGGTCAAACCTGATTGGGTGCAGGTTCAAATCATATAAACAGGATTAGATCGGCTCAGTTCAAGCAAAGATAATACAGAAAGTATGTACTGAATTCTGATATTTTCTTACAGTAAAAGTTATATACACTTGTGAAAATAGTAGTTTTTAACTATATATATATATATATAAAGTTATAGTCATTAATAAAATAAATAAAGTTTTACATATTAATAAAACGTATGCAATCTGCACCCTCGAAATGAAAGTGCAAAGACTCTTACCTGGTGGTGCAAAGAGAAAACTTATTGATATGAACTTTTTAGATCGCTTTAGTACAAATTGTGTATAATAGAAATGCACAATATGTGACTTTTTAAAAAAGCAATAATACATTTATTCAGTCATAAACATGTTTTGACAGTTAATTTGCCAGTGATTTGATGCTTCACAAAAGTTGCAGACGCCTTTACCAATATCAAAATGCTTTTGGAAACAACCAGTTATTCTTTACACCGATTAAAAAACTGTACTATAATAAAGAAAATCTTTTCTAAATGTAGAACTAAATACATTGATTACTCATAGATGATTACTCTTGTCTTGACAAATGAAAGTTATTGCGTGTCATATTTAACAAGCCGTTTACTGCTAATTTGATGTAATTTTGCTCACATTGTCATTGCGCTGCTGTGCCGTCAGCCAATCGTTGCATTGCTGATCATGATTTCGAGGATCGATAGATCTGTCCTTAACAACACACGCAGCGATCTCAGATCAGATCATCTAGACATTCTAATCTGATTCGCGAACTTGTTTGAAGAACCAAATAAGCGAGAGATCAGTTATCAAGATTAAAAGATCCAGGATCTGCCAAATCATCTTAGATCATTTAAGCGAGGTACGAAGAACGGACCCCCATTCTGGACCACAAAACCAGTTGCACAAAAATATTTAGCTCTCGCTCCAGTGAAAACAAGTACACTGTAAAGTACATTGTAAAAGCCAAAATGATCTTTTTTATTAAGTTATTTACTGAGCTATGTTTCACAAAAATATTTTTTTAAAACGTCCTACTGTAAATAATACAATTTTTGATTTGTAATATTTGCACCTCCAGGTTGGAGGAAAGTCCTTACCCCAGGTAGAAGAGTTTAAGTTTCTTGGGGCTTTGTTCACGAGTGAGAGAAGGATGGAAAGTGATATTGACAGGTGGATTGGTACAACGTCATCAGTAATGCAGTCGATGTACCGGTCCGTTGTGGTAAAGAAGGAGCTGAGCCGAAAGGTAAAGCTCTCGATTGTCAATCTACGTTCCTACTCTCACCAGTGGTCATGAGATTTGGGTCATGACGGAAAGGAAAAGATCTCATATACAAGAGGCCGAAATTAGTTTCCTTTGAAGGGTGGCAGGGTGCACTCTTATGGATAGGGTGAGGAGCTCTGACACCCGGGAGGAGCTCGGAGTAGAGCCGCTGCTCCTCCACGTCGAGAGAAGTCAGCTGAGAAGTCTGCCTCCTGGACGTCTACCTTGGGAGGTGTTCCAGGCATGTCCCACCAGGAGGAGGCCTCGGGGAAGACCCAGGACGGCTCTAGGCTGGCCTGGGAACAGCAGGATCCCCCCGGAGGAGCTGGAGGAAGTGTCTGGAGAGAGGGAAGTCTGAGGTTCTCTCCTACTGGTGCCCCTGCAACTCGGCCCCGTAAAAGCGGCAGAAAATTAATGAATGAATATGCATTGCTGAACACTTTGAGGCAACTTAAAGGTAATTATCTTCAACAAAACAAAAGATGTTCAATTGTTTTAACCTCTGTCCAATAATGGCATATACTAATGAATCACACATCAAGCTTGTTTGTTCAGATTCAATGTGATGCATAAACTTTTAACTACTGCAAAAATATAGTTAACCACCATAAAAATGCCCAAATATATGAAACAAGAATAAAACAAAGCCTAATATATAGTACAACACAAATAAATGTCATTCTTATGTGCCATGTGAAATACGCTAACTGTTTTGATGTTATTAGATTATGTAGTAAGACTATATTAACTTGAGTAACAATTAAAATGTTAAGTATTTTATATTTTAGTGTCTTTGTCACCAGCAATGTGAAGATAATAATCGACCAAATAAATGTAGCCTACAATAAAAAAACTGCCTAGTACATTCCCATAAATTGTATTCTGCCACCATTTTGTTTTTGAAATATTTTTCAGATGACCTCTCCCCATTCCATTATCGATTCTTTAGGAAATGTATGAGGCCTGACTGCATTTCCCATCAGCCCCTGCGGTCGGTAACCTTTGACTCCCGCTCCAGTGAAAACAAGCCGATCAGCTGATCTGACCTGGCAACAACATTCACCCGAATCTACCGGGGAGGGGAATCATTTTACAAGCTGGTGGGCAAAAACAGTTCTCTTCACATCAACCGGCTTATTATTTTTGTGTTTATGACAGAGTCGTTGTCGTGTGCGATGTTTGAGGGAATTCAGCAGCTCGTTTGTTGAAAACTGCGGTGTGATTCTGGCTCGAAATCAGCTTGTTTTGTTCGGTCAAAGCTTTGTTGATCAGTGTGTGTTGTTGTGTGAACATACTTTAAGGACTGTACGATACTAAACCATTATTAATTCAGATACAGAAATCATATTTTCTAACCCCACTAGTATTTAGTCTTTGAAACTAGAGGAGACAGCCCAGTCACGTATGCTAATCGTAGCTAGCTTGAGTAACAAAAGCCCAGGGCGATAACAACACTCGAATGTAGCTGTTTTCTCAGTGTTTATGTCTGCCAATACAAACATTTCGATGCTTATGGCTTGTAGATTGTCAGTTTAGACCGCTTGAACACTTTTAAATCTATTAGAAAGCTCGACAATCTGTCCTAGTGCCAGTGCTACACGGATGTCAACTGATCTATTTATAGTTCATATTGAATATTTGATTTTAAGCCAGTGTCATAATTTGACATCACATTTTGAATTCCAATGAAATTCACAGCAAACGAGTGAGATATATTGTTTAGGACGCTAAATGCATTATCCATGAGGTATTATATAGCGTGTCAGTAGTTGATTGTACAGTTAGGTTGCTCTCTGCTGTAGTTGAGTAACTTTCAGAGAAATTTCCGTTTAAGTTCGTTCGCTTCCGTTACCTCACTATTATATTTGGACGTATAATGAGCGGCCAGGGCTCGTCGGCGGAGAAGGGGCTGAACGGCGTTCTGGTTTGTCAGGAGAGCTACGCCTGCGGTGGCACGGACGAGGCCGCCTTCGAGTGCGACGAATGCGGCAGCCTGCAGTGCATCCGCTGCGAGCTGGAGCTCCACCGTCAGGACCGCATGAGGAACCACGACAGGATCCGAATCGCTCCTGGCCACGTACCCTACTGCGATTCGTGTAAAGGTGATGGAGGGGTGCCGAACGGGGGTCGGCTGAGAGCAGTGGTTCGATGTCAAGGGTGCAAAATCAACCTGTGCTTGGACTGCCAAAAACGGACTCACAGCGGGGTCAGTAAAAGAAAGCACCCTCTCACTGCGTACCCTCCTCCCTCTAAACCGCCGGAGAACAACTGCAGCACCGGAGACGAGCAGCTGGATGAGCTCAAAGCCAAACTGGAGAAAGTCACCAGCTTTCTTCTAGTGGATGAAAATGAAGACATGCAGGTACTTAAACTTTTCATAGAAGTTTTCCTTTATACACAAGTCAATTCTGCTCCTCAGATTTGATTGGCTAATTGGTTAATGAGTAGACATGAAGCTTTGATTGGAGTCTTCTTTTATATGGGGATTCTGCACACAAAATCTTCTCTAAGAAATATTAGGCTAAAAACAGCTTGTGAAAAAAGAAGTTCAGATTCACCTATAAGCCTAGTCCCAAATGGTGCCCTTGTGGTCTTACTATAAATCTGAATATTTTGAAATAATAGCACTTTTCATTTTGGATAGATGAGTCACCTTAGTAGGTCATTGGCATAAGTGTGCATAATGGATGCAAAGAGAGCACTTGCAAACACCCTTCTCAATTCTTAAAAGGCTCAAAAAAAAACTTTTTTCAAAATATCTAAAATAACAGAAGAAAGAAATCCATATAGGTTGGAAACAAGTAAAGCCCTCAAAAACAACAAGAAACTACAAGAATTTACTTGTAACTATTGACCTCTATAGTGAAAACAAATACAATAGAAGTCAATGGTTTAAAGTTCAATAGAAAAAAAAAAAAACTTAAACAGGTTTATGACATAAAGGGACAATATATGATGACAGAATTTTCAGTTTTAGGGTGAATTATTCTATGAATATTTGAAAACTTTCTATATGGGAAAAGGAGTTGAGTGATTATACGATGCCATGCACGATGAGGCAACCAACAGTTGCTTTAGTAAATTCATAAATGGTCAAGGAAAATTGCTTATTAATAACACAATTATTACCATTTTTGGTTGTATACATTTTAAATTGCACAAGTAAAATAGGGACAGTTCACCCATTAAAGGGATAGTTAACGCAAAAATTACAATGGACTCACCCTTAAGTTTAGAAACCTTTACGGGTTTCTTTCTTTTGTTGAACACAAAAGAAGATTTTTTATAAAAAGCTGAAAACTGGTAACCATTGACTTCCATAGTAGGATATACAAATACTATGAGGTCAGTGGTTACAGGTTTCCAGCTTTCTTCAAAAAAGCTTTTTCTGTTCAACAGAAGAAAGAAACCCAAAGGTGTGAAACGAGTAAAGCCCTAAAATGTTGGTGGTACCAAACATTTATGGGGACACAAATTTCCAGTAATCTTCAAAATACAATTTTTTGTGTCTTCAACAAAGAAAGAAACTCAAACAGGTTTGGA